TATTAAAAGGGCTAGAGGCCGATTTTCATTCACAATGGCATGTTTAAGTTACATTCATCAAGACATCAAAGGTCTCTAAGGCACATATATGGTTACAAGGTTTCGTGCCTTATTAGAAAATTACACAAAAATCCAAGCCTAAATCTAGACAATTCATGACAAATCTTTAAGTTTTGTGACATGATTAAATTCCTTCCAATTTGACACCAATCTACTCGTTTCAAATAGCTCCATATGTGTCCATAAAGTCTTTGTGACCACCATCATTTGACAGCCCATGAAAAGAAAGAAATGAGGGTGAGCTTAGTAAAGTCATAAGATAAAAAGCAGTCCATAATACAAAATGGAGCCCAATGGAGCCTAATTCACCAAGGATATTGCAGCAGGCCCATGCTCATTTGTGACATGAGAATGATCTGCCAAAAAACTAGCACAATATCGCATGCTATCAGTCAAGATCTTGCACCAATTTGGATAAAGGCTAAAATTGAAAAGAAAAAGTTTATCATAGCCGAGAGACCATAATAGAGCGGGAAAGTTTTATCCAAACACATTAGTCCAAAATCCGCATAGCCTGCCCAAAACCTGCATAATCTTGCTAAAAAATTGTCAACAAAACCGTTATGCTATGTTATTAATGTCCACACAAGTCCAAGAACATCAGTCCAACACTTTGCACTAGTTGTTGTCCCAACCTGTCCAAACCCGCTATGCCAGTCCAAACCTTCCAAAACCTGCACAAGTAATGCCAAGAAAAAACAGTCAAATAACCTCTGATGCTGCTCTGTTACAAGCCAAGCATATCAGTCCAGGAATTGCATAAAAACAACATACACCAAAGGCTGTATCAAAAGGAATTAAAACAACATACTACAACATTTCAAACTCATGAAGTCCCCCCCCCCCCCCCCCAATTTCACCTCTTCACCTATAAATACAACAAGAAACACACCGAAGAAAGGCATACAAAAAACACAGAGAGTTAAAACTCTGTCAAAACACAAACCCCATTCACTCTCTCAAAAAACCTTTACTCTTCTTAACACCACTGCAGCCTACCATAAATCAACACCTTAATCCATCCTCACTCTCTGCAAACATAAACCAAACAGACCTGCAAATCCTCAATCTCTTCACGATATTGTTATCGCCTCAACATCATTACTTCATCATTTGCTTCAAACTTGCATTGCACATGGAATCACCGAGACTCCAGCATCAATGCTCGATGAAATAAATTGGATCAGATTCATTTCCAGACACATTTTATCCTAGGATTTGCGGTTAAAGGAGAAAATAAGATAAAGAGAATGGTTATGCTGCTCAAGTGAAGGCTTCCATCAAAGCTTCATCAACCCGCGGAAGTAAAACAAACACACAAGCAATTTCATATTTGTGTTCAACTCACCTTCTCATCATCCTCAACATACAACTCAACAACGCATCATAATGCAATCCATAACCTTCAAACGCCGACATCCATGATCTAAGCCTCACCTGCAACATACATTGACATCAACTCGTAAGCTTTAGCAACAATGGATCAACAACATCTTTAATTTTCAAAGTTTTTTTCAATTGCTTACCTCTTTTGAAGCCCATCGGAGGGGCTCTGATAGGTACTTTCTTCCGCTTTTATTTTGTTGTATTTCTGAGTTGATTGTTGCTATATCATTGTTATTGTCAAAATGGAACTGAAATTTGAGATGTTGGTTGTTGTTCTTCTATTCTGAATCTGAACCGTTATTGTTATTACTACCATGTGAGGATTTTCAATTTGTTGTTGTCGTGTTGAAACTGTGAGCGTTTGAAAACCGATTTGTTGTTTGAGACCGGGAGAATAGAAGATTTGTTGTTGTTGGTTGAGTAAAACCGAAACAGAAAGAAATAATCATGTGGGAGAGTAATTGGATTATTTAACTAGTAATTAGTGTTTTATTTATTTTATTGGGAATATAATTCAATAGCATTTTGACCAATTCCCCAGGATTCGGTGCCTCTTTCCTTGTACGATTAGGGTTTCGAAACCCTCCCCTTTTTCTCTAGTGGATCTGGGTTTGGGCCTAAGTCTTAGAGCCCAACCCAAATATTTTACCTTCTTTATTTGGTTTAGAGCATGCATAACAGAAATACATCATTGGCTTAGTGACAATGCAAAATAGCCAAAACTATAGGTACTTGAGTTCAATCCATGGTTTTTAATTTTTTAGTTTTAAGTCTTTTTTTAGCCTTATTTCATTTAAAATCTATACAAAAATACAAAAAAAAAAATTAGATTAGGCTTATAATTATTTCTTTCTTTATATCATAAAAAATTTCATAAATATATTAGTTTAATTTTGTCATTCGTTATTTTAATTAATTTTTGGTTGTTAACTATTTAAATGATTTAAGTGATATTTGTTTAAGTTCTTTCCGATTATTTATTTTTTATATTTTTGTTTGTGCTTATTCCAAGGGAAATGATTAAATTTGTTGACTTCATGTCATCGAATATATTTAATATGATTGTGCGAAACCCCTTCATACATTTTTACTTTTGTTAATCTTAAGTTAAATCTCATGAAAAACTCAATTTTTAAACTTACACTCATTCAAGCTAAAACTTCGACACTAGGTCGTTGCATCTTCAAGACCTCATCCCCACACTCATTTAGCAAGCAAACCAATTTTAACCAAAAACAAATATTTCCAAAGGTTCCTATAGGATACTATAGATACATAAGATGCTAGTATCTCCCCTTTGTATAATCAACCCCCGAACCTTCGATTTCTTTCAAATGCATTTTATTTTTCTTTACTTTTAATATTGCACTTACTTTGTATATTTATGGGTTTTAGTTCGCACTTTTCCCTTTTCCCTTGGAAATAATAAAGTGTGGTGGCGACTCTTGCTTTTGCGAGTCAAGTTAATTAAATAACTTGGTCTTCAATTTTCCTCGCTACAGTAGGTTCCAAACATATGAGATCTCACATTTATTTAGCACCCAAAGCATATGGCAGTCAAAAGAAAGCTGCACACATGCTGACAGGATGTCCAAACATCTGGTAGGGCATCATTTCCCTTCATCTAGAACATAAAACTGAGCTTGATTCTGAAGCCATTAGTGCTTCCAAAAACTCAAAACATCCCTTGATCACCTTCAAGGTCTTCAAAACTAATCCAAGCTCCAGCTATACCAACAACAACAAGACACAAAGTTATTTTCCTAATTGAAATAACCGGCTGAAAATCATCAAAATAATGAAGTCACCATCAAACGTCTTTTATCCCACATGTAGGGAAAGGTAAACATCGAGAAAACCTGAGAAGGGTGAAATCAAGGTCGAACGACCAAGAGATAAGGGTAAGGGAGTCTGTTACGCGAGGGGAAGGTATTAGCACCCCACACGCCCGTAGTACTCTATGGTATCCACTCTTGTTGTCTATCTTATGGGTGTGTTTAATCTATATCTAAACTGTACAGGAAATGCATGCAAAAGGAATGAGAAAAGAATGTAGGGAAAATGAAAAGTTGTGCTCGCTTGGGCCCTACCCCAATGCCTACGTATCCCTTTTAAGGAATCAGAGCAACCGTAGTTCGACTTATATGTTTTTGTTGATATATATTTTTTATGAACAATATTAATTTCGCCCTCTGCCGCAACTCGACCTTTGGAGACTTACGCGTCAGCACAGAAGTGAATTAACATGTTCTTACCTGAAAAAGGTTTGGAGAAAAATGTGCCTGGGCGCATAAAAAGTTTGAATTTGTTTGTTTTTTGTAATGAATAGTATTAATTTCGCCTTTTGCCGCAACTCGACCTTTGGAGACTTACGCGTCAGCACAGAAGTGAACTAATACGCTCTTTCTGAAAAAAGTTTGAAAGGAAGGCCCGAAGGCAAAAAAGAGTTTTATGTTTGTTGGTGTTTTTGCTTGTAGAGAATAACTAGTTAATCTCAAGGGAGAGATATTAGCCACTTTTCTACTTATCTATGAAATGGTTTTTTTGAGAATTGAACCACACCTAGACTTGAGATGGAGAACAATAAGATCGAGAAGAGACCCGCTTATCATTTCTCGTACTAAGCAAAAGCGTAATTCTCATCAGTAGTTTTAAAAGTGTTATGAATTTTGAAAAGAGAAAGAAGTTTTAGTTTTAGATGCGCATGCAAAAGGAGAAAGAAAAGTTACATGAAGACTAGCCTATTTCTACACCTAATGTTATTATGCGGTGGTGGTCCTAAGGTTAGAATTTTGAGGGAAATATACCTAATGTTAGCATGCATAGTTTGCGGTAAAATACGGAAATGAAGAACAAAATAGAGTTGTGACGATACCGAACGGATACCAATCTGTAACAAAGCGTATCAAAACAAAGAAGCCCGACGACCTTCGCGAAAGCTTCACCAATCCAAGAAAAGAGTCAGAAGTCAAACGCTCGAAATAAGTGTCGAAGCATCATCGGTGCGAAAATAAATCGCAATCGAAAACTCAAGTGTATCTGTATATCCTGCATAAGACTCAAATCTCAACAAGAAAAAGTAAGTCACAAATCTCACGTAATCGAATAATCATGATTTAATTCCCCAAAATATCTCATAAAATTTAACATTTTTTTATTAATGTTTTTATTACATTAATGTTTTTTTATTAACAAAAATTATCAAAAAAACAAGAAATTGACTAAAACAAATGAAAAAGAGTCAGGGGGTGAACCAGGATCCCAGGGTTCGGTATAGCAGATGCTAGGCCCGAGCTGCATAGTTCAATAAGCCTTTTTTTTTCATAAGCTAACAGGTTTAAAAAAAACAATGATACATTGGGATTTGGGGGGAAATGGTTTCGGTCCAGTAACACACAATAACCCAGTTTTTTTATCACTTATATCATTTATTTGAAATAAAAGAAGAAGAAAACAAAAGGAGAATTGAAAAGGGAACGAACGTGCAATTAGGGTTATGGGTGACCCTTCGACTCCCTCCGAGAAACAGAAGTTTCTCCTTCTTCTCTCCAACCATGGCGGCGGTGTACACATCCTTCATCTTCATTTCTCAGTCCGTCTCTATCCGCAATAACCTGTTTCAACTCATCTTCTTCACTCTGACTCCGTTCGCCTCTGCGTCACGCTCATGGTTTCGCTCATCACCGTCTTCACCGGCGCCAAGTTCGATGCCTCTTCAACGCGTCGAAGCTTTAAAGAATCCGAAAGAAAGCTCGAATCCAAATGTAATATTACACGTCCTGAGTATTCTCCTTCTTCTTTTCTTCTATACCCATTTTGTATTCTATTCTTCTTCGCATTTCTATACGTTTTGGTAATGCAGTTATCGTTGTTGATTGCAGATGAGGCTTGTTGGAATGTCGATCGTTGTTGAAGATGGAGATAAAGAATTGCAGAGTTGTAGTTGTTGTTGTGAGTTGATCTGATTAAGGTGGAAATGGAAGGTTGAAAGTGCAAGGGTGATGATGATGATGGTTCAAGTGTTGTAGTTTGGTTGCAGATTTTATCGTTGAAGGTTGATAACAAGTTGATGAAGATGTTGATGGTGATGATGCGCAAAAATTGATGAATCAAGCTGCCAGGTTCATAGAAAACCCAAGATTGAAGATAATTTTTCAAAGCGTTTTTGCAGATTAATGCAGTTGTGAATCGAGAGAGTGTCGAGAACGATTTTCCTTCTAGTGAGATTACTAGAATCTTCTTTCTGAGTTTTTATTTTTCTTTTCCAGTTCTGTGTTGATTGAAGGATGTTGCGGTTATTCTTGATGCAGAAACCGTGATGCTGATGTTGCAAAGTAGTTGAAACACGCAGAGTGAATGAATGCAGATGATGAAGCTTGAGATGCCGGTTAAGCATTCCGTCAGAGAATTGATGACAATGGGAGATTTTCGAAGATGAAGATTGAAAGCGATTCTGGAGATCGATCAAGGTTCTTGGAGAATGATGCGGTCGGTTGAAGAAGAAAGAGATTGCTTGTTTTCTTGGTGAGTTTTCTTCTGAGAATTTTCTATGAGTTTGTAAATAATGAATCACTTCTGAGATTTTTTCTGTATGAATCCATGATCCTGAATCTCTCCCTCCTCTTCTGCCGATTCTGCAAATTGTTGTTGATTTCTTGTGATTCCTTGTGGTAACTTGCATTTTGAACTGTTTGTTATTGTTCTTGAGTGGTGATGATTGTTACTATTGAAGATGAACGCAGGTTGATGAAGATAAAAGAAGATGTAGATGCGGTTATTGCGGAGAAAGAGAGAAGAAATTTCTGAGTGATTCTCCCACAACTGAAATCCTGAAGCAATTGAAGGAGATTTCTGTTATATCATCTGAAGTTTGTTACCGGTAAGTAATTCAGAGCCCTTGGATTTGTGACAGTTAGTTATGAGATAGAGGGTGAGGATTGGGTTAGTTGCTTGTTATTGGTTACTGTTATAGAGGTTAGGAAAATGGTTTTGACAACGGGAAGTTGTTTTTTTTTTGTGAATTCTGTTTTGGTTAGCAGTTAGTTTGTTATGTGCGGGGCTTTTTATTGCAAATATGTTATGGGTTGGTTATGGATTTTGTTAGCAATTAGGAAGTTAGAAGTTTGTTAGAAATTGTTAGAAATTGTTAGTTGGCAAGCTGAAGGTTATGTCATTGGCTTGTTAGTTTTGGTTCTGATTGTGGATTGTTTTGATGCGATTTTACAGGTTGAGTTCCAAGTGGCCAGTAGGATTTGTGTTGAAGTAGTGTGAAGATTATGGTGAAAAGGTAAGGTCAAACTGTGGGATTTCGTGGAAGACATACGAAGATTAGGCTTTGGTGTTGTGTAAGATTTTTATAATTTCTTTTGTAACATGATGGTAAAATTGTAATGAAAATGTTTTGAATGCCATCTTGTATTGTAATGTAGCATGAAATTAGTTAAACTTGCAATGTAATTTTGAGAATTCAATGATAATTTCTTCAATGTACCTTTCTCCTCGAAACTGATTTTGAAATTCCAAGTTCTTTTTCTCAAATATTTCCTTTAAATACCTTTATATGAATTTAAATAATCATGGTACGAATTCAAAATATTTGCAAGGTAATCATAAGAGACTTTAATCTCGAATGAATTATTTAATGACTATTTGGATGAAACTATGGTTGTTGGATAGTATTTTCTTGAACCATGAATGAAAGGGTTTGAATAAATGTTTGAACGCATTGTGAACTTGAATCTGGAATAACGATGAACATCTTTGTAATGTGGATGAACTCCGACTTGAAATAAGACCTTGCAGTCTGTACTTTACCTTTCAAGAAACTCATATGACCAATACTTACGGCTCTTTGCCAATTTTAATCCAATCAAACACTTTCGAACATCTTGAATTCAAATCAAACTTCAAATCCAAATCACACTTGCATTCTCAATGAACTCCTAACTTCAATCTTGAATCTAAATCAACTTGTATGGTAAGTAATTTGAATAGACAATAAAATCTTGATCTTTAAAAGAAAATTCACAACCTTGCCTTTTGTATCATGCCTCATATTCCACGATTCAATCCATAAGTCTCTTATCTTGACAAAGTCCTTCCCTAATTGATGACCTTAAATCATCAAAGATGGACGTAAATGATAATGAAAGAATATGATCAAGATTAATATGAAACCTTATTTCCCCTGATCTTCAATTACTTGAACATTTATCAACGAATAAAAACCCTGATTTCTAATGAAATTTCCCTTTTTTTGAACTAATATTTCTTTTCCTTTACCGTACCATTCTTCAAATGCAACTCGATTGTCTAACATATATTAGATGAAAGTTAGAGGGAGACCTTGGTCCAAAAGTTATTTTTCAAAGCTTACTTTAACCGAAGTCAACAGATCTTATCCACATATCTTTGAAATTGGCCCATGATTATGCATCTCAAGGTCTCATAAGAGCTTGTAAGCCCATCAACCAGGTATGCCATTTTGAACAAAACCCTGCCTTGAATGCCTTGAACCTTGAATTACTTTGCATGAATTCTTCCACGAGAAGCCTACTTCAATCCAAGTCTGCTCGCATCGCAGATAACGAATGACAATGATGAGGATAATAATTGCCTTGGTTAAGGAGAAGTCCACGAATTCATATCTAAGGTCATGAACCACGCTTCATAATTCAATCCCCAGCCCTTAGCGATCGATTATTTCAACTTAAAATTAGTGAAATAAGGAACACCTTACAGATGGATGATAAAGTCTAAATCACAGGAGAATTCCCTTGATGTGAAACCCTCACAATCTTGATTCCTCGTTTAGACACACAGAGAAATATCCGGATAAAACATCTTTGAACCATGATTCAACAAAACCTAAATTGATTAACTGAGGAGTAGATGATTGCCATGCCACAGTCATTAATCCTAATCAAACGACAAGCATACTTATAGGAAAGGACGCCATGATTCGAAGCCCACATATGCTAGGTCACGTCCTGGAGTTCTTGACCAGAATGACCTACAATCAGTTGTTTATTAAAAGATATTATCCCTGTAACTTGGTGGAGGAGAAGTCCAAAAATGAGCATGCTCAAAACCTTGTACACCGAGAAGACCATGGATAATCAAACTTATTCAACACATATACCTCAAATCAGTTGCAAACCCTAGCTCCCTAACTGCTGGTCTTTTGACCCTTAGGTGATCCATTTTTATGAAAATGCGTGCTATGCACATGACCCATTGGAATGATGCAGATGAATGCAAAAAGTCTAAGCCATAAAAGTGCAATTAGGAGGGCAAATTTTGGGGTGCAACACTAATTAGGTCAAGTATTAGGAAGACTCTTTTTAGAAACCAAAATAAATGACTCTATATTTTTCTTCAATAATCTATCAAATAAATGACACGTTTCTTGAAAGAAATATCAACCACACATCAAAGTGCCTTTATGAGTGGACTTGGGAAATAAACTCAAGTATCGTTGACCATTTTAGATGGTTGAAACCGTCTTGCTCATATCCTATCACCACGGGATATAACTGCCAAGGAGACCAAACCCTAATGCTATGTCAACCAGGGTTACAACAAATAACATGCAGCGGAACAAACAACATCTCCTCAACAACCTTTAGGAATAACAAACCATTGCACATAAAACTTCGCACTTTAGGTGCATCAGGTCGACATAGTTTTGAAAATAGATCAAACCAAAACACAGTAGCTTGCCACCCAAGCTACACGTCTGAAAACACCACAGACGGGTCCAACACAACCCTGTCATGAATAGTCCATCCTCCACTTCAAGAGACCATTGAAACAATAATATGAACTCTCCAAGTTCAAACAACTTTTCAGTAGAAACCTTCTACCTAGCACAAAAACCATAAAGTATCCCCCTACGGATCTCATCCAGAGACAGACAAGATGCTTGCTCTGATACCAATTGAAATTCTGGTAAGAGAAAATTTAGATGTCCTATAAGGATGTCGAGACATCTGATTGTACATAAACAAACAGACAAGTTATAACAATATAAAAACAATATTGAAAAGCATAAGTAACACACAAAATTATTAACCCAGTTCGGAATAATCTTCCTACTCTGAGAGCATACCAAGCCAGGGACAAATCTACTATGATAATATCAATTCAAAGCTAAACTCTCCCATTTACAACTTCTCACTTAATCACTACCCTTCCTAGATTTATATCTAAGACTCACCTAGATATGAGGCCCTCCTCAATCCCTCTTCAATCACAGATAATGATTGGATCAACACAATTCTGAACAAACATGAAGACATAATTCCATGATAATCACTAGCCAAGATTCTTAACTAAGACCACAACTTGGAGTTGCTTCAAAGCTTCCTCCAAGAACAATACTCACTCTTGCTTCATAACTTCGAGGAGAACACAATGACCATCTCACAACCCGGGTGGTTCACTTACACCAAATCTCCTAGAGAGTGACTACAGACTCAGCCTTAATGATTACATCTTTTTTAAAAATGACTGGTATTGATCCTAGGTTACAAAAATTCTATTTATAACCTATACCCAACTGGATTTGGGCCTTCAAAATAGAACATATCAGTTGTAACAATCAACAGTAACTTCTGCTACAATCAAGGTCTTCAATCAAATCTTCCTAAATTATATCCAAATTTAGAAAGTCAATAATCTTCGATATTCTTCTTGATTCTTCTTGACCTACAAAACATCGCCACATAGGATAATATAGATACATTATTATCTCAAGATATATTCTATTTTTGGGACTTAACAAAATATAACATCTCAGTTCAGCTTAGGCGCGATGTCGTATGCTTTCTCATAGGACATCACATCCGATATGTTGCTCCAGATGTTGAAATACTTCAACTCAACATGTCTCAACATAAGATAAGACTTCTTGCTCAACCTATTTCTGTTAGCAAGTTAGCACATTCCATCTAACATATTTCTGCTATATTAGTTTTACCAAACATAATGTCAATCACATAATTCAGAGAATTTAACACCTTCAACTTCACTTGAGATCTCAAATTTTCTTGAGCGTAGAAATTCCATCTAACAACCACATCCTGTTTCTATCACTTTTTAATTTCCAATTCCATTTACCTAACAATGCCAGATTAAAGCCCTCGAGTTTTCAATACCTAACCCCTTCATTTATAGACCTACACACCTTATCCCATTTAACTCAACTTGTTTTTCTCTCTTCCTCACTCCTACCCCATAAAAACTATTTAAAGATTGATCAAAAGGACCAACAAAATTGATTTTATAATGACCACACGACCACCAGCTGATAACTGTTTATTCTTCAACCTCAACAATCTAGATCTCACTACATATATAATTGATTGCCACATAACGTTTTTTCTTGTATTAACACCAATCAATAACTCAAGATAAAATTGAAGAATCTAATTTGTAATTTAACACATTTGTTGTTTCTTCTAGCCATTGTTGAGATATATTTATTTCAACCGATAAACTCCTATGAAAGTTAACTTTGAGACTCAACATAATTTCAAACAACATAAAATTGATCTTAATAGTACAAATATGTAACCAACATTTTCCACCGATGATTAAGGTACCATCATAATATTGTAGGTGAGAAAACTATTCTACCATGCCATCAAATGTGAATCCAAAAAATCTCCCCAACTCTACGACCTTTTTCCATCAACACATTAAACCCCTCAGTTACAATGAAAAAAAGAAAAGGCAACATTGTATGGTCTCGTCTAAAACCTCGACCCATTTTAAACTCCCTAATAGGACTTCTATTTACCAACATCAAAAGTAATGATGTTTTTAAACATTTTAATATCTACTTTCTTCATCTCTCATGAAATTCCATTTTCCCATCACTAAATCCAAAAAAATTCAGTCCACCAAGTTGTAATCCTTTTCAAAATCTATCTTAAACATCATAACTTCCTTTTTCTTTTTACTAGCTTCTTCGATCTAATAAAAAAATTGATTAGGTGTAACTTAAAAAAGAGTTAGGATTATGGTTCAAGAAAGCATATGACGAGAGACAAACTAGTTTTGATCAATTGATTACGGACGAATCTGGCTCTTCTTTGTGAGTCTAATCAAATTCAAATTGTTGAAGAGTATAGAAAACTAATCTGACTCAAAATATTGGCACATCATTATGTTTCACCTTAGAACAATGACTTAACTGATTAACTCCAAACTTTTAACACTTTTAAACTCTGCTTAAGACGAGGCCATTTTGGTAATTCAGAACTAGCACACTATCCCAACAACCCGGTGCCACAGCCACAGCCACAGCCACAACAAACTCCGTCTCGACCACCACGTCGATGTCCTCCGCCATGGTTTTCGGCGGAGCAACCGCCGTAAAACCACCAGCATTACCCAAAAAACACCGTAGTGTAGTCGCCAACTTCTACTCACCCAAACTTAACCTCACACGATCGGGATTTCAGAAGAGAATCCAATATCCCAATGGATCAACCTCTTTCCGCTCCCTTCTCCGCCTCCGCGTTTCTTCCAACGACGCACAGTTTAATTCACCCCCCGAAAACAACAGCCAGCAACAACAACAACCGAGTTTCACTGAGTTCATCACTTCCGAGCGAGTCAAAGTGGTGGCGATGCTCGCTCTCGCGCTAGCTCTCTGCAACGCTGATCGTGTAGTCATGTCCGTTGCCATGGTTCCGTTGTCGCTTGCCAACGGTTGGGGCCGCGCGTTCTCTGGAATCATTCAGGTGTGTCAATGTGTTTCTCCCTCTCACTCACACTCACACACAAACACACACCAAGTGTTTGATTAATTGACTATGCTATTGTTATTGTTAATTGATCATTTGGTGGCTTTTGATGCAGTCTTCGTTTCTGTGGGGATATCTGATTTCGCCTATAGGTGGAGGAATATTGGTGGACAAGTATGGTGGCAAAGTGGTCATGGCTTGGGGTGTCACACTGTGGTCACTTGCTACTTTTCTTACTCCATGGGCTGCAGAGACCTCTCTTTTGACTCTACTGGCTGTACGTGCTTTGCTCGGCGTGGCTGAAGGTGTGGCTCTTCCTTCCATGAATAACATGGTGGCCAGGTATTCAAACTTTCACCAATGGTAGGAGTAGGGTTTTAGAGATGAGTCTAGCCAGTGTTGTTTTGCCTTTTCATGGATTGATATAGGTCCTGTTTTTAAACTGTGAAAGATGTGAAGTGATCCTCATTAATGCCGGACTAGGGTTAAGGAACGAATATATTGGCTTGGTTTTAGGCGGTATTAAACTTTGACTAGGGATATTAAGGCACAAGCATGTAGTACTCAGTGATTCTCCATGTATGCACCAAAAATGTGTCTGCACATGGTTTTATCCGTTGACCTGGTTTCAGGTGGTTGTGTGCAGTGTTGTCAATGGTGGATGGTGGTCAATGGCAGAGAGCCAAAATTCCGCCGTTCCGGCAGCTTTGCGGCGCTGTTATAGCGGATTACAGCGAAAAAACCCGCAATATCGTCCGATATATACCATTTCGGCGAGCCGAAAAACTTCCATGTATATCCGCCATAGCGGCCATGGCGCCGCCATTTGATAACACTGGTTGTGTGCTTGACAGATCATATTTCGGATGGTCCATAGTTACTCGAGCTCTAAGCCTGAAAAGCGACAGAGCTCAAAGTAGGACTAGGGTTTAGACGGGTATATCCTAGACGATCCAGATTGGTTTGCACAGTTGTAAAGTTTGAAATGGTAACTAGAATGTGTCAGTATGGTTTCTGATTGTTTTGAACTTATATCTTATCTGTGTTTCTATTATATGACATGACATAACATGCCCTTTGGTTATTGCTATTGTATGAAGTTGATGGAGCAAGAAAGGGTTGAAAGTTGAAATTGATAATGAATAATATTTGGTTGTTCTGTTTAGATGGTTTCCTCAAACTGAACGGGCAAGGGCTGTTGGCATATCGATGGCTGGATTTCAGCTTGGATGTGCGATAGGGCTCACACTTTCTCCCATTCTCATGTCGCAAGGTGGTATATTTGGTCCATTTGTAATTTTCGGTTTGTCTGGGTTTCTTTGGGTTTTGGTATGGTTGTCAGCAACATCAAGCACTCCTGACCGAAGTCCTCAAATATCAAAATATGAGCTGGAGTATATATTGAGTAAAAGACCAAAGTCTTTTCCGGTGGAGGCAAATAAAGTTAAAGTTATCCCTCCTTTCAGGCGCTTGCTTTCAAAGATGCCAACATGGTCTCTAATTGTCGCAAACTCCATGCATAGCTGGGTAATGCTTCATTTATAGCATCTGTTTAGTTTTTTGTTACTGATGTTGGTAATAGGTGTTAACAATAGTCACAATAAATAGAAGACTACCATTTGTTATTGCTTTGCTGCGTACCCGAGTCACGGCAACTCACAGAATACAGAAAACACAAATTAAAATGCACAATTCTGAAAATAAAATATAACTGCAAAAGGATGAATGTCCTAATGCCCACAAAGCCAAGTTTCTACAGAGAACAATATTCTCTGTCCATAACTAACACAAATGATTTCCAAAGATGCCATTCCTCTCTCCCCTCATTCCCTATACAACTGACTCCCACTACTCTGTTAAATTTCCCTTTCACCCTCTGCACGTGGATAGTCCTAATAAACCCACTTCTATTTCCTATTCCTTCTAATCTAGGTCAATCCCATTTGATACTGGGCTAGGGATTTGCAGCTGTGCTAACAGCCCATTTGTCCCGCATCTATCATATGGGGTATTAACAGTTTGACCCAACTGGATTCACTTATCTTATTGCATGAGGTAGTCCTCACCTTTATTCCCATATCTTGAATAAAAAGTTATAATGCATATTTCTTAAATGTGACACATGAGTCTGTATCTCACTGTTGCAATTATTTTTCATGCAAAATCATGTCTGTTTCCCTTTTAACTTTATTTTTTATTATTTCACAGGGTTTTTTTGTTGTTCTTTCTTGGATGCCAATATACTTCAACTCAGTAAGGCTTATTATATATAGCTTTTTGATTGACATGTATCAAGCAATAAATATATTTAGAAATCAATATATAAACAGTGTATAAATGAAATCTCATTATAGGTATATCGTGTGGATCTCAGGCAAGCGGCGTGGTTTAGTGCCGTTCCATGGGTTGTGATGGCTATCATGACTTACCTTGCCGGCTTTTGGTCTGATATGATGATACAAAGGGGTACAAGTGTTACTTTGACTCGTAAGATTATGCAGGTATTTCGCACCCACATTGGGAAAAAGATGAGAGTGTATGGACTTAAATTTATCCCTTGATTAGAGGAATTGTGAAATTATCAGTTATGAACTTCATCTGATTTTGTTAAAAATAATATTTCTTTACTGTTGTAATGTTATGAGTTGTGACAAACTGTAGGAAGAGTATCTTTTGGTAGAATTTGCGATAGAGATCAACCTTTTAGTGACTATAAATGGATCTGGAACTGTATAACTACAGTGAGTGGTTATTTATGCATAAATACCAGCTTTGTCGCTATCTCAATTCTTAACTTCTTTTAAGATCATTTTTTTTCCTAATCTGTCAAAATTTTAACATTGTCTTTGCTTACAATATCATCTGTTAAGTGTCAGAGCATTGAGAAATTAGCAGTTAAAGTATCAGCTTGCCCTGATGTTGGTGGCTTAAAGCAATGTGAATTAAGTGCTTCCAAAACATGAAAGCACTTGGTTGTGCATTTTAAAATAGGGATAGTATGTTAAAATTTTAAAGTTTTGGACGAAATATGGTGATGTCTTTTTATTCATGTAGCTAATTCCACTTACTAGGATAAGGCTTGATTTGTTATTGATTCTCCTCACTGTATATTAGTTTTAATGGATAATGCTAATTCTGCTCTCTTACTGCAGTCCATTGGTTTTGTTGGTCCTGGAGTTAGCCTCATTGGTTTAGCAACAGCAAGAAACCCTTCGGTTGCTTCTGCTTGGCTTACATTAGCCTTCGGCTCAAAATCTTTCGGTCACTCTGGTTTTCTTGTGAACTTTCAGGTTTCTGATTTCAGTCATGTATAAGATACATACATATATATTTGTTTTGAAGTATTGTAAGTTTTAACTCTAATTTATATTCATTTTATTTTTTATCACAGGATATTGCACCACAGTACTCTGGTGTTTTACATGGTATGATAATAATTTCTACTTTATCTTGTAAACCTCCTGATACTGTATACAATTTTTCTTCAAAACACATTTATTGTCATTTACAAAACATTTTTCATCAGTAAATTCCTTTGAAATTGTTTTGAGCTTGTATAATTTATGCTATCTCTTTGTGGCAGCTGGTATCTAGTTAATCTGGTAGCTATATTTTTGGTCTAGAATTTGGTAATTCCATCTCTTTGCGGCAGCTAGTATCTGTATGTTGGACTTTTGAACCTATTTGAATATAATTGGCCAAGCTGTCTATGGGGGTATAAACACGTGCTGAAATCCTTCATGGAGTTTTATGAAACTCGGGAAAATAAAACACGCTGGAATTTACCTATTGGTGTTGACTATTGAATTAAACAGGATTCTTACTGCTTGGTAGTGGCATGTATGACTATGTATGGGTAAAGTAGGGTGAAATATTTGCAAAATTTTACAAGAGTTGAGAAAATACCTGTCCTTGTGTACCTAGATTAAGATTTCTTACAAGGAGTACTTTTTTGGTTTCTTGTAGGAATAGCAAATACTGCAGGAACACTTGCTGCTATAATTGGAACAGTTGGAGCTGGCTTTTTTGTTGAGCTAGTTGGTTCATTCCGAGGATTTCTGCTGCTCACATCACTCTTATATTTTCTAGCTGCCCTTTTCTACTGCCTATTCTCTACAGGTGAAAGAGTAAATTTTGACGATCCTGGTGAGTATGTATAGTAGTATGTTTACCTTTAAACTTGACAGTTTATCTAGAATTTACTCGAGCAATACTAGTCTTGGATTTGTATATATACTTCATTCTTGAGGTTATGTGAATAGTTAGCTTTACTCAACAACTTTTGAGGAATATCTTTTTCTTCATGAAAAAAAAGAGTTTATTATACGAAGGGGCGCTCAATCATGAATGTTTTGCTAACATGAATAATTCATTTTTGACCCATTTATACATGCTTGTATGAGAAGGATTTGCTCTCTTGCATCTCATCTCATAATAAACAACCCGTAATATGTGCATTTGCATAGTTCTTTTCAAAATCATGTAAAATTTAAAATATAGATTAAAAGATAAAAAATGTTTGAGGAAAATATTTAAAGTTATAAAAACAATTACAAAATTAATATACATAATCATCTCAAATACAAACTAAAGCTAAAAGGGATAAATAGTCATTTTGGTCCTTGGATATATTTAAAATTGCAAATACATTCCAAATGTCTCCTTTGTTTGTAATTTCATGGACTAAATTGACTAATTAAGAACACATTTGAAGTTCAAAATGATTAACAAAAGACACATTTGAGGGCTAAAATGACCAACTAGAGAGACACTTGAGGATGTGTTTGTAATTTCGATACATTTATGGATTGTAATGACAACGACTCATCAAAATAACTGTTTACCCAAATTAATAAAAAAGATTTAAAATTATGAAGATAATATGCATAATTAAGTGGAATTAAGAAGTTAAGAAGGCTTTTTAACCTCGTTTACTTTGTAAGATGTCTAGAACGCTCATTAGATTTCATGTTATGTCTATCATTTTCTAATACGTTTGCCTAGCATTTCCTAATTCCTACATTAAGAAAAACCGAAACATTCGATTTTATTCGATCCATGTGCTAAATGTTTCTTGAGAGATGTAATAGCCTCGTGATGTGTTACACACATACATGTATGTTACTTGAGATTCTTGTTATTATGTTATTAAAATGCTTTACATTTGTTTCTATTTAACATTGTAATAGTTGTTTGATTCATGTTCATTTGTAAATTGCTGATGAAATGCATCTCGAATTCTGTACAGCTGGCTGAAGAGAGTACCGGAAGCTAAATAGAGTACTACTGTACAGTTCAATTACTTGTACATGAGAGGAGATTAAGTGTAGTGTGACAGATGGTTTTCGTTTTCTAACTATCATGTTCTGTTGTATTAGAGAAACCAGCGGGGTGTAAAATTGATGTATAGTGTTTTGCCCATGTGCATGGTTCTCTTCTACATGCATTTGATCTTTTTGGTGTTCTAACATGTTGGAGAATATATTGAAAATATAAAGAACAAGGACAAAATATGGATATGGGGTGGTATAAGGCGCAACAATTTTAAGGAGTGCAACGATGTGTACCTTAATTGTTGATAGGACTAAGAATTAAAACTAACTAATGAAAATAAAGACTTTTTTATTTGATTCTCCGTATCCTTCAATATCTCAAAGAGACTACATATATAGTACTAATAATGGATAATAAACTTAAAAGTCCAAATATTAATAAGAGCCTAATAACCATACTAATAGTTAATAATATAAGTTATGAATTATAATATACTCTTCTATCATTGCCATTAGGTTCACTTGAACCTTGTCCTCAAGATTTTAAAATCAATATGAGAATAGAGATATTGTTCCTGGATCTCATTGCTTGAATAACAAATTGTCACTGTGATTATTTGCAACACAAATTTCAGAATTTGAAAAATCAATTTTCTCATATAAGACGATGCTCCTAACTTGGTTGGACAATGCATATGAAAAAAGGATCATAATGAGCATCTCCAACATTCATTGGAAGTTGATCAACACTTTTGAACCATGTTCTTGGAAGCTTTCCGGTGAAACCATAGTCACCGAATAAAACATCAATCACAAATTCACGCAAGGCAGAAGTTACCCCAACACCATATCTCATAACCTCATCTAACAACTCCTTACTTTTATCCAACAAACCTTTGTCACACAACCCCTTGATCACAACCTCATAACAAGAGGGGTCAGGCTTAGGATCTTTTTCTCCCATTTTGCTCAAAAATCTGAGCACACTCAACAACTTTACCTTTCTTAATCAATTCATCAAACACCCTGTTTCCAAAGGTAGCAACCACCCTCAAACCAGAAACAACCATTTTGTTAAATATCCCCAAGGCTTCATCAATCCTATCCGCTTTCAAATACCCATCTATCAAAACAGTGTGAGGAGGCACATGTGGGCTCAAAGACTTGGAGCACAACTCTTGAAACAACATTTCAACTTCGAACAACACCCCACTCTCACAATATCTAGAGATAATGTTACGATACCCATCAACATCCATTATAAAAGGCTTAGAATTAGGTTTGGTTCCGACCTTCCTAAAAGTAGAAACAACTTCATCAACCTTACGCTTAAAGCACTCATTAACTATGATATTAAAAGTATCAGAATTAACAGCTTGAAAATTAGGAGGAGTGTGATTATATAACATCTGATCAAACAATTCCCAAGCCTCCTTTTGCTTACCATGCTTAAGCAAAACCTCCAACAAACAAGTTGCCGAAATCATCCTAAATTGACGATCCATTAACGACTTGTAAGAACCCATAGCCTCCTTATCTCTTCTCTGATTAAAGAACCAATCCATGTAAGTAGCCTTCACAACACCATCATAAACCAAACACCTTTCTTTGAGCTCATCTAAAAGCTCATTAGCTTTGTCTAAATTACCAAGCTCAAGAAAACCCAATATCATATTATTATAAACCAACGAATGAACAACGTGTCCTTTGTTCAACATCTGACGCAAAAGATCAACAACTTCATCAATGCGACCAACACCAATCAAACCTTTGGTAAGATGGTGAAACATAACAGGGGAGAGAGTAAAAGGTGCTTTAGCAATAATCTGGCGATAAATCTCAAGAGCCACATCGACGCAGCCTTCATCGCAGTGAGTATTGATTAAATTCTTATCAGAAACTATATTAGGAACAAGGTTATATTGGTTGAAGAAGAAGTAAAAAGAGCAATAGCTTCATTATACCTCTTGGCGTGGTACGTCGCTGCTATGATGGCATTGCAAGTAAACACGGTCGGCCGAGGATGAGAATACTGAGTGGCGAGCTACGACGGAGGTGCCGTCTAGGTCACCGACACAGATTAGGGATTGGACACAGTTGTGGAGGTTGAGTCAAGGTCCTACAAGCGCCGATGTTGAATCAGGAAGGTGAGGAGCATTAAGGTCGCGGGACTGATGCCGGTGAGGTGGAGGACAAATTGCGTTCAAGGAAGGCTCGATGCGAAGTTTCCACTTGCGATGACGATGTTCAGTGTCTGCTTCTTCGACGGAGGAAAATGCGAAGGAGTACGATGATGGAAATGGGTTCATGTTGTTGTTTTTTTGTGAATCAGAAGGTTTTAGAGAAGTTTTTTAGATGTTTTCTTAAAACCGCTATGAGACACTTGCAAATGCTTCTCAAAATCTCTTCTAATACTATAATAGTTTTGATATTTGTGACTAATTGTGGAGGAGGTTGGTTGTAGTTGTCTTTGATAACTCTTGTAGTATGAATGATGAGGTGTAGAATATGATGAATATGAGTTAGGTAGAGGTGATGTATATCCATGATTAAAGTACAAGCATGGTGATGGAGTTGTAACATATGGATTTGTATAATAAGGTGAAATAATTTCTCATGGAAAAGATGGAAATGAGGGATTGATAGGAGACGTAAGAGAGGGGTTTGTTGGATAGGTTGGAGGAATGCTCCATTGACGAGATGGTGTGAAGTTAGAATACTCTATGAGAGAACTTGAGTGCAAGAATGAAAACACCAATTGATAGGATAATAATTTAGAGCCCTAACAAAACTTGAGAGAACTAACAAATAAAAGGCAATTAAAACTAACTAATAAAAATAAAGACTTTTTCATTTGATTCTTCATATCATTCAATGTCTCAAAGAGACTACATATATAATACTCTGGATAATAAACTAAAAGCTCAAATACTAATAAGATTCCAATAAAAATACTAATAGCTAATAATATAAGTTATGAATTCTATTCTACCCTTCTATCATGTATCCCCTTTTCTCCAACCTTTTCCATAATCTTTCACTTACTAAGAATCAATTGCAATTGCAATTGGAAGCCAGAGGAAAGATGGGGTACTTTCGGTGATTATGATGGTGTTGTACTAAAAGCTAATTGTGTGTAGTTTGACAAAGCTTTTCCAAATCTAGAGACCATAATGGACTGGCCATAATGGGCTAATTCAGAAGAATCTACATGACATCCCTTACAGCATTTAACATGCCACCCCCACAATTATATCTGACATCTCCCCAATGATAGTACTATTACTCTTATGTCTTTACAAATTTTTTATAAAATTTATTTTCTCGTTTACCGGAAATTTCAAGGAAATATCATATTTTTTTTCGAAATTTTCGAAAAAAATGACTAGATTTTTTGAAAAATTTGGTAGTTCATTTTCGACAAATTCATACTGGAAATTTATAAATGAACTATAAAAAATTTGATATGTTACCAGAAATTTGAAAAACCTACTGGAAATTTCGTTCTTGCCACCCCCAAATTTGTGCATGGGGAATTTGGGAATTAAGGAAAATGGGGGGTGCTAGGTTCAATTTGAGGGGTGACAAGTTAAATCCTCCATCCCTTAAGTTGGACCTGATACTCCTACATAAACCTTGATTTGACCATAATACCACATATTGTGAAAATGATGTCAAGAATATAGTATAACAAGTTTCTTCTTCGACAAGAAACCCACAAGGGTAAGAAAGAGGGAAGCAAGAAGAACACAATGAAATTGGTTATAAATTTCTATTCTTTATTTTCTCTTTGAAATAAGATTACAAGTGTTACAGAATAACAAATAATCTCTCTCATCCTAATTAGAATTTGCAGTGTGCAATGATGAGAGGCTAGTATGCTATTTATTAGAAAACTAACACACTAAACTAATGGACTTTTATACACACTCATTACAAACTAACTTAGAGAATAATCTAACTTAAACAATTGGGAATAACAAACATGCTAAATTTGACAGGCTAATAAACCTAGTAAATATCGACTAATGCATGTTAGAACAACTTCGACTACAACACACACTGTTTCGACATCAGCATACGAACCAACTTTGATCTCATGCTTAATTCTTGTCAGACCAGCAGCTACTCCTTCGATCATACTAGAGTTCAATCCAATATCTTACATCATCAAAGAAAAAAAAATCAAAATTTCAAATTCAAAATCTCATTTTTAGATTTTTGCAAAAAAAAAAAAGTTTTCTATCGAAGATTTGATGAAAATAACAAATTTTTTCAAGTAGTGTTTTTCATAAACTTTATTCATTTTACCGGATATTTTAGTACGATACTAAATATTTTGAAAAAAACATGCTTTTTATTGATTTTTTTGGAAAATGCCGGTACAAATTTTAAGGTTTGTAGGAAATTTAGAAATATCCGATATAAACCTAAATTTTGGTTGCTTTTTTATACTGGATGTTTCTAAAAAATTGGTACGAACAATGTGATTTTACTGACAATTTTAAAATACTTAGTAAAAATGCATAGATTCATACCAGATATTTACAAATTATTGGTAAAAACACTTACATGCATACTAAATATTTTAAAATTGCCGCTATATGTAGGGGTATGAGTGAATATTTCAAAAAATATGGCAAATCACAAATTTTGATTTTTTTTTGTGTACCGAGGAGAAGAGGCAAAGACAACAAAATCATACCTAAATTGAGCAAAAGAGCAATTGTAGTGAGCTATAGTGGAGGCGGTAAAGATGATGGAGACAATCATCTGAAGACAAAAGAGGGTAGAGAAATCCCTACTGGTTCTCATTGTACGGGGATTGATCAATCTCGTAGACCACTCATTCTCTGGTGTATATGAGGTAGAGCTGGTCATTCCAAAGATCATGATGTTGAGGAAGAGGTGACTGTTCGGGATGACCCAAATGTTCCTCCTATTCAGGATGATAGAAAAGCTTATGTTTTGGCTGATATGGAGGTGACGACTCAGACTGATACAAAGGAATTTGTTCAAGATGACACTATGGGGGTTCCCTAGAGGGAGATTAACCTTTCCTTGCTCAATGGAGTACTTTGATCATGTGGCATTTAGATTATAACAGGGAGATGTATAAATATTTTGATTTAAGTTGTTTATATATTAGTGGTTAATTGAATGTAATTGATAATTTCTGCATTATTTGTTAAGGACCACACTCTTTTGAAGGTCCTCATTCATAGCTTTAAGTTGAAGAAATTTTTGGCAGTGCAGATGCCTGATGTGTTTAGGGCTATTGTTGTTGATGTTGGTTTGTTGTCGTTGGTGGATTGTTCTCTCACCATGCTTGACGGTCCCTTGTTTTGTTGAATGATGATATAAGGAGACATCTTTCTTTCATCTTTCAATTGATAAGATGACGATTACCCTAAATGATTTCTCCAGCCTCTTCCATCTCCCCCTTGCTAGTTACTTCTTCACCCTCTGCTGATAAACCAACAGATTGCATGCATGGATGTTGAGAAATGCTTAAGAGTTACATCGAGGTTGTTAACGATGAATTTCAGGGCTAATAAGGGTGCTCATTTATGTCTTTCTAGGCTCTGGGATATGTGTTAGTGACTGGTGGATCATTCTATGTATGAGGCGACCACTAGGGTATACATGTTGCATCTTCTTAGATGTATTATTTTTATGGATAAGTGTCATGAATACATCATTGCCAGGTACATATCCATGTTTGATGACTTTGAGTCTCTCCATTGGACATGAGGTTGTGTTGCTTGGACAATATTCTATACTGCCCTTGGAGAGGCACTACCCTTGAGACAAGATATCTCACCGATTATATGAGTCCATTTCAGGTATGAATGTTTATCATGTTTTATTTATTTTATGAGTGTTTATTAAAGACAATTGGTATACCTAATTTGTTTTTATAATACTTTATTTTACGGCAGCATTGGATATACAAGCATTTCCCATACATTATGATAGACATGATCATGGTCATATCACAAACAACTTGCCACAGACCATCAAATAGAGCTCGGGGCATTCTCATTCGAGAAGTCTTCTAGAGTATAGGAGGAGGATCAGTTCTCTTACTTTGGTTGATGTCATATGGACACTCTTTTAAGACCATAAAGTGTATCAGAAGTTCGATGACACTGCTCTTTTTTTGGGTTATCTGCGATGGGAAAGTTTTGTGACTGCATATTTACCTAAGAGGTTTATGCGCTAGTTTGGATATGTCCAAGGCATTCGTAGAGCAATTTCTATTGTTCCATCTAGGGGCATTGATATATTGTTTAGGTCTAACAATGTGATCAGTGCCATTGCTATTAGAGAAAATGCAGTAGAGGTGTCTTTTTCTAGATAATGCTGGGATGATTATTTGGAGTGGTACTTTAGAGTATCACACCCTTGCATTATCCTATTTGTTCATCATGCAGATGATGTTGGACCCTCACATGACAAAGGAAATTCAGATGATATTCCACCGCCTCCATCTGGTATGATTGACCAACAGAGGTTGCAGATGATAACACTTCTTTCAGATAGCCTAATGGGTTTGGTAAACCCATATAAGGAGTATCATACCCCAAAATTTACTCCATGCTCATTCATTTCCTATCTGGCTATATCCTTTAATTCAATTTCATGCATTCTCATTAATCATTCATTATTATATAAAGTCATGGATTCATCTGCATCATGTGAGATTATCAGGTCAAAGTTTCTTTTCCTCATGTTTCAGTTATTTGGTTTGACCTTAGAGGATAAGCTATCCAGGGGTTTGCTTGTGGATTAAGTATTGGACTTAAATTTCAAAAGGGATGAATATCTTGTGGCTTTCATTGTTCGAGAAAGGAATTATGTCTTCGCTGATATTTTCAAGAGGATTCTAGTCCATCATTTGATTCATGGGGAAACTTGATGAGGAATATGGTCTTAATTCTTGAGAAGTCTTTTGGTTTCTTTAGAAATCTCACCCTTTTTCTTGGAATTCAATCTTAAAGTTAATTTAAGTTTTCACTTGGAATTAATTTGGTTTAGATTTCCATTTAACTGTATTATCTTTTCTTGCTACAAGGAGATAAAAAAGAGTTTCATTTCATTTCTGACATTTAAGCCCAATACAGTTCGCAATGACATTGGGAACTGTGTAGGGAAGGAGGACTATTTGCAAAAGCTTTCATACATACATGCATAAAACCCTAAATCTAAGAGGAGAAAGAAGGGGAAATTTACCTTGTAGTAGACCACCATCGCCAGAGCCCACACCATCGCTGGAAATCGCCCTTCCCCTCTGACATTCTCATCTCGCTGCCACTGACTTTGTCCTTGCATCCGTCAAAGGTTGTTGTTGGTGTATAAAGGGCATATAATATCTTTCTCTTTATTCTTTTGCTTGATATTATCATAATTTGTTGTTAGGGTTTCGTAAGCCCCTTTGTAGATCTATAAAGTTTTAGAACTTTTCTGCAGAAATCATTGTGAAATTAGTATAGAGGAGAAGGAGAGGATTCTGAATATGTAAAAAAAAAAAAAAAGAGAACTGTTACCTTCCACGGCACCTCCGTCCATGTTCATCATCGTCGCCGCATGTTCTTCGTAAGCCACTGTGAATCTTCATCGTCTCTGACGCCATGTTCGTACCCCCCGCCATCGCCTTCATGCTAACCGTTGTATCGGATGTTACTTTCTGGGTTTTGTTTCATCTTTGGGTGTTCATTCTTGAATATGAGAGAGAGAGAGAGAGAGAGAGAGAGAGAGAGAGAGAGAGAGAGAGAGAGAGAGAGAGAGAGAGAGAGAGAGAGAGAGAGAGAGAGAGAGAGAGAGAGAGAGAGAGAGAGAGAGAGAGAGAGAGAGAGAGAGAGAGAGAGGAGAGAGAGAGAGAGAGAGAGAGAGAGAGAGAGAGAGAGAGAGAGAGCATATGTGATTTAAGCTGAGAGAGAGAGAGAGAAACATTTGTTATTATGCCGCCAATGCTTTTCTTTACATTTGCTGTTATTATTTTTATTATTTGATGTTTGTTGTTAGCCAAGTCCGGTGGTGACAAGTGGTCGTCGGTGCCACTTGTCACCATATATGAGAAGATGACCTTGTGTTGATCTTGTACATTCGCCCCATGGCCTTACCATGCACCCTTCATCCATCTGCCGTCAGATCATCATCAACTTGTTATCATAAGTATCCAATGCTTGGATATGCACGTCCACAGTGCACCATCGGATTAGTCAGGCGCTGGAGTTCTAGACTTTGCTTTGGGCCTGGGAGCCCATTCCTTCTCTGCACCTCCTGTTTACTGCTTTTCAGGCCCAATTCTAAACCTTTCTTTTACTTTATTTTATTTTCTTTTGATTTACATCTTGATTATTTATTTTTGTTTAACATAGATAAAATATAAGGATAAATGTATTTAGATAATTATTTATCTTAAAATAATTTTTATCTTGATATTATTAATTAAATTATTAATTAATGTTATCATATAAAAATGATTTAATTTAAATAATTATTTAATGAGTTTGAAATTGTATTGTGGATTAATTAGGGCTTTAGTAATTTATATTTTTAGTCATCCTCATTCATAAATTATGTACCCCTCTCCCCTAATAGTTGTAATAGTTAGTAAGTAGTTTGATTTTGTTATTTATTCATTTATTCATCCACAATGCACAAACCAAATATTTTCAAACTAATATTCAATCATGAGCCATTTTCTATCTTGAGTCAACAAAGCTTTTAAGCGTCGCAATGGCTACACATGGTGCACACACCATGCTTGCCTTTGGGCTTACAATTGGAGACTTAATTGATTAATTAAATTACATTTTTATTAGGTAAGTAGGTTATTTGAAATTGATGAGTTTATTCAATTAACTTTTTCCTAACCTAATTATCTAATTCAACCGTCTTATAATTAATTGATTAAATTTATATCGCGCATGCACTTACACAATTCTATTTGCTTTATTATTTTGTGTGAACCACCTTTTGTATGGGATTATATGCTTTACTTGCTTTACTTTCACAAATTATTCACAATTGTACACTCCACACACTTAATAAAATTGAATCCAATTATAGCATCTTGGTTCATATACCAAGTCTTCCAAAAGGGTCTCATAGTTGAGGATGTGCATGGCTATCCTCACAAGGTTAATCAAAGTCTTAGCTTGCATTGATTAATCATAACCCGAATCAATTACTTTTGGTCCATATACCAAATCTTACATGTAAGAAGGGTCTCATGGTTGGGGGTAGGCTCACATATCCTCATGAGGTTAATCAAGTATAGCCATTGGTTAATCATAATCTAATTAAACTTTCTCAATCCATACACCAAACATGTAAAAACACTTTCATAACCAAAGTTCCAAACCTCGATCCACCGTTGAGTGGCTTTTCAAAATCCTTTTCTCAAGCAAATAAGGGTCTCATAACCCGACTAAAACATTCTTAATTAAAACGAGTTTAAATCTAACTCAACAACAGTATGGAGGAAGGGGGAAACATATCCCATCTCCCTCGTGGGCGCTTGAAACACAAGGAACTTCCCTTGATATTCATTGTTCACATACTGTTAAGGGGTTAAACTTAAAGTCTCCTCACTCTTTCATAATAAACGAAAGACTAAATGAGAGATACAAAACCTCCCTTATATTTCCCTAAGTGTTTGGACACAAGGAACTTCCCTTGATACTCCAAACACTTATGTCTTATAAAAAAACTCAACTCATAAAATTTGTTTTTCTTCACCCTTGCGCGACTATTAAAAATCTTTTCATAAAAATAGTGTGTTTTAGCCATTTCAATACAAAATGAATACACAATACTTATCCTCTCATACGAGCAAAAACAAGTCGAGGTTCGAACATTTGCAATGTCTAACGCATCATTCTTCTAAAAACAACCAACAAACATTTTGGTCCTTTTTAAAAGAACTACAAAGTTCTGACTTTACCATTGCACGGGGGAGTACGTAGGCACAAGTTATCTTGGCGAGCTCAAAATAATCTAAAAACAAACCCCTTTTTCTCTCTCCTTTCTTTAATAAGATCGTAATTATCACACTATACACTTAACACACGCGAGCTAAATGGTTCATGTTTTGGATTGGGCCAACACTTAGCCCTGTGTTGAGTAGGCCCAATCCAGTGGCCTTGTTACGGTCTAATGACATCCAGCCCAAATCAATAGCTGTTGTAGATTTCCCCACATGTCCACTAGCGATACATGGCCAACAGTTATCCGTAACAACCACCATCCCGCCCACCGAGAATAATGAATTTAATTTCCCTATTATCTCGGGGCAGTTGACCAGGGAAGAGGCCACGTACTGGACTCATTACTCATGTAACCCTGGTAGTCTTCGTTGTTAGGTCTAACTATCTGGCCCAATACATGGATCTTGGCCCAGCACTAGAGACTATAAATACTCTTTCACATGAGAGGGTCGATATTCATTTATTCACTCTTGCTTCTAGTACTTGCACTCAGGTTGTCTCTATTCTTACTTTGATATCAGAGTACCTTGTAGGTACACCCCCTACTCACTTCAAATTGTCGCTCAACTCAAGCTTGTGGGCCATTGACGATCCCTTCTAGTCAGTCAAATTGCCCGTCCTTAGCGCTACCGTCAAATTTATTTTGGAACATGGGTTTTAAAATTCCTTTGGTTTAATTACATTAACATTTTGGGGTTTTAATAATATTCACTTTCGAGTCTATTTAAAAATATAATTATTTGTATTTAAAAAATAAATAAATAATTATTCATCTTCATATACTTTCTATTATCTCTTTATTTCAAATAAATAACATAGCAAAATAAGAAGTATATCTTGAAAGCATAAGGTCACCGATTTCTCAATCCATATCCACACATATTCCATCTACATTGCATCATTCGAAGGAAATAGCACCCATCATTGAAACCGGTTCAAACTCTAAGGAAGTTTGCAGAATTTCTCGTGTTGTGCGCCTTACAATTGCTTTGAGGTCCAAACTCACAGTTCCAATTCTCTCATCGTTCATCGATCACATTCTTCCTACAACTTCCGAGTCTCACTCTAGGTTATCTTCTTACCTTCCTAATCCAAGGATGATGATCATAAGATGGAAGTGGATTTCTGCAACATCTACAGCTATTCAAACCCCTGCAACCACAACTACGAGTAGATCGGAATCTCCATCATCGTTCCAGATTCCAGCCACTACTAAACAACCACCGCCGATCTCCACTATGAAGCAAGTCATACCTCCACGTGCATCCGACTCACGCACACCATCACCGACGTTTAACAACAATGTTTCTAACCGCAAATCCACATCGGACCTCCTCTGATCCCAAACTCCGTCTGCCCAGAATCCCACTAGCCGCACCTGACCCAAATTGCACCACTGCAAACATCCATCTGTGCCAGCTTCAAAGCTTCCGTGCACGTCCTTTTATCTTTCACTTTTTTTCATTTACTTAGCTTGTTGTATTTATAGGGTTGTCTTAGATCTGCTTTGTTTGTGGTTTGAAATTTGAAAGAAATAAAAGAGAAAAAGTTTACTCACTATTTCTTTTTACCATTGACACTTAAGTTAATGTTATTGTTTTATTTTCATTTTTTTCTTTTCAAATGCCACTTGTCGAGTTTTTAGTGGAGCTTCCTTTTTGTTTGTCTTGAATTTTGGAAAGGGATCCAATACATGGAGCCAGCGACGCTCCCTTTCTATTGCCATCAGTTTTTTTTTTTCTTTCCATATTCTTTGTGTGTTATTACTTATAAGTAAATTAGGATTTTAGAGATGTGGCATGGGCCTTGGGCTTTGCCTTTCTATATATTCTTTTAATTACTAGTCTACTGCCATTTACTTCCCTCTGTTTGTGTTGTTAACCTTTATAACTAATTAATTAATTAATTAATTAATTAATTAATAGATAGGTTGTTTTTTTAGGATAATATTGATTCAGATAATTTTAATTAAGTTTTTAATTTATGAGTTGGTTAATAATATAAATCAAATATTATTTTTAAATTAATTAATTCAAATATTCTATAAATAATAGGATGTCCACCTTTGAGTAATTAAATCGGTCGACACATCGTTTACCTGATTTATTATTCAAAATCAAACAATTAAAAATTCATGCAACCTACCAAATTCACCATCCGCGAGCTACACGTGGCCAATATCTGACCACGTGACGAGGAGACTTTATCAGACTCCCCCTGCTCTCAGTTGTACCACATACTTTAATCAAATCGAAATTTAAAACAGCTAACCAACAACATCAAATAATTTTCTACTAACATAATCAAAATCATGATATTTTTGAAAAACAGATTAAGTAGAATTACTTTCAAATTAACTGCGAATTGCGTCTACGACCACTCAACTTATAACCCAAGCATGGTTCAAGGATAATTCGAAAGCAATTCTACATAATCCTATAAAAAACACCAACCAACACTGCAAACTATGAATTGGAACTTTGATTCCTCATAAGAAGATATGTAGGCATACAACTAAAATCGTGGTGAGTTCCCCTAATAAAAACTAAAACCATATTTCCTAAAGATTGTGTTTCTAAAACCCTAGTATCCTTGTGAACAAGGTAGATGAGGGGTGTCTAACACCTTCTCTTCGTCTAAGAACGAGTCCAGCAACTTAGAATCTCTGTCAGAATTAGGATTAAACTTTATATTTCCTTCCTTAGAATAAAAATTAAGGGTGGCGAATCTTATTTTAAAAACGGTTATAACAACTAGCGACTCTATTGGGGATTCAACCCTAGGATTAGAAGCCTTTCCTTGGATTTAGGGTTTTAGGGTTTTTCTATTTTTGTTATTTACATTTATTTATTATTTTTGGTTTATTTATTTTCTATGTACTTTTTATCATATTTGTTTATGGTGGGATTTTATTATTTCAAAAATTATATATTTTTCAAAACCCTTAGAAAGAAGGTTCGTCTATTAGCCAATGGGATACATCAGCCATATGAGTTTATGTGACAACTTCGCCTAGAGTCAGTGGAATTTCGCAAAAGGAATATGTCTCAAGAGACATCCTCTTAGGGGGTAGGACTTTGGAATGAAACCTATGACTCTTTGTATAACCCTTGAACTAAAATATCATGGTGAGACCTTTCATGATACTCTTAAGGATACCACCTTATGGGGAAGGCTAGAAAAACTTAGAACCTTTATAGGAGCTCTCCTATAGGTTATTCTATCAACATCTTATCCTCTTAACCCATAAGGGTATCCTTATCTCTATATCTATCTTATAACCGGTATAGGGTATTCGGATACCCTATAACCGTATAGGGTATTCGCTACCCTAAGCCCACGAGGGTTTCTGTTTGTCGATCATAAACGTTAGGCCCATAGGGATTCCATTAAGAATGTTATAATCCTTAGGCACGTAAGGACTTCCAAAGATATATTACAATCCCTAGCCTATAGGGGTTCCTTTTTGTGCGTTACAATCCCTAGCCTGCAGGGATCCCCTTTTATCTGTCACTGTCCTTAGAACCTTAGGATCTTGACCTCCATATGGAACTAAAGACGTCCTCACTAATGCATGCCATGTGGCCTATATCAGGCCATGGGATCTAGTGATCATTAATAGGTCGCCAAGTGCTCTCATTCACGCTATTCCCTCAAGTCCAACCTTCATCTCAACCGTCCGTTGGTCTATCATAATTCTTAACAAGTAGGAATTCCCGTCCCTCTTTTATAATCCCTAGCTTGTAGGGATTCCCCTACGTATTTCATGGTTACTAATCTTTAAGGAGTTCCTGTCTGTCTCAATCTCTAGGTTAGTGTAGGATATCCTCATTTCCATGTCTATCATTATCTTCGTCCTTAAGGAATTCTTGTCTGTCTCAATCTTTGAGTCAGTATAGGGTATCCTCACTTCCATGTCTATCATTAAACCCGTATAGGATACCCTTATGTTTACCTTCATACTACGTTCGCGTCGCATATCTATGAAACTTTTTTGCATACCCTTAAAAGCCAAAAAATATTTTTGCATTCACAGACATTGATACATTTGTATCTCATGCATTTACACCTTCGCCCTTATCCAACTATTACCCATATGCTAGATGATTTCTTGGTACCCACAAATGAACTTAAGAAAATATAAATTATGGAAGGAGGAGATTAAACATTGGAGATTCAATGGAGCTTGGTCCTACAAATCTTATTGTGGAGAAAAGACATCCCCTCACCATGACAACTACAAGCCTACATAACACGTTAAATGCCACTACTACTGGTGATTCCTCTACATAAAGAATAATTGACCTATCAGCAGAATTGGTATGCCCAAGAAGAGTCCAGGGTCACCCTCATGCTCTGACAAATCCAAGAACTACAAAGCATCTCCTAAAGTTAGTGGATCGGCAAAAAAAGCTCATCTCTAGGATCATTAGACTTTACCAATTTCACTTTGTAATTTCTGAATTGCTAAGTTGTGTTTGGTGTAAATTTATATATTTTGATTAGTAATACTAATAAAATGAACATGCATGTTTTGAAATCAATCCATTAGTATTCACTCTTCTATTACTTCCCATTTCACTCTTCTTTTCTATCTTCCATTGCACAGCTATAACAAACTTTGAGGGAGAATGATGAAAATTAAATAACAAGAATTTGTTAACGTATGCTTTTAATGGTAAGACCGAGCTGATGATGCAAGGCATTGTTTCAATTGCTAAACAGTGGAGAAATAAGGAGTTAATCCGTAGTTCACCCCCTCGAGCCAGAAGTTGGAGTTATTTCTATTTTCTAAAAAACCCTTAATCTTAACCAAGGGCAGGGTAGGTTTCAATTAATTCATGGATGCATTCTAATCTCAAGAGAATCAAGCCATCTAAGAAAATGTTCAAGCATATCTCTTTCCTCGATACATCATTGAGGAAACGATCTAAGCAAAGGTTCAAGCATATTGTCTTTCTCGTGCACATCAACAAAGATTGAGGAAGCAATCAATAAAGAAAAAGTTCACAATATCTTCTTCCTCGGTGCATCATTCAAGATCGAGGTAACGATAAAGAAGAAGCTTAGAATATCAGCATAGGCAGTCACAAATTTTCAAAATCAAAAGAAAAAAATAGAAATTCAAAAAATAAATTCCGTTAAGTCAAGTAACAATTTAAAAAATTGACTTAGGCAAAAGTTAGGGCATCCCGATGGACCAGATTCAAAAGAATCGGCCCATGCAAAAATAGAGGATTGAAAAAAATTGGAGAACAATCTTGTGACTGCCACCTCAAAGGTTTCTTATCAATACTTGGATCTTATCAAAGCCTTTCATTATTGCTCGGATCTTTATCTACGCTTCTCATCATCTGCGCGACTACGAAATTTCTCTTGGAGATTAAACGCATCTATTGCATTAATTGAAATTAGGATTGGAGAACATCAAGGAGAATAGGGTGGGCTAAACAGATTTTGATCCTTATATCTTTTGTTTCTTAAACCATGAACCATGGCCACATTACAACCTTCAAAAGTCCTAATTGAAGTAAGGTTAACTATGAAAGCATACTTGGCAAAATTTGTGTTAAACTGACTCTTATGTTTGTTAAAATTATTGCTAATCACTTCGCTTCTTCGAATCTCCATCTCTAATCACCCATTTCTATTCAAACTTCTATTTAAAAACTTGCATGTGCATCACTAAGAATCACTTTTCAAATATACACTTTTATAAGTGAATCAATATTTAGCGTTAAGGAGATCTCAAAATTGGTTTATTCAAAAGCGGTTCTTTCCAAGAAGTTCCTAACTAGGGGAAAAGCATCCAAAAAGAACCCTATAATCATAAGCAGGATTGTTGATTGTAATGGCATATCACATGAAGATCCTATTGACAAGGGGTGATCATTCTGAGATTCAATCAACTTGGATCAAGTTTCAAAGTGCCGATTCAACCAGGGGAATACCTCTTGAAGGAGCATTCCTTAATCAAGTCATATCACAATAGGGTATGACACTATTTCCTCGTTTTAACAAACTTCTATAGGCCTTGATAATTAGGGGCAACCTTCCAAGGTTCAAATGTTGGGGCAGTACATATCAAGTTTATCCTTATGCATATAGGGTTCCAGTTCCCTCTTAAGCAACTTCAAGAACAAAAAATTTCAAGCTTCGAATACTTGGGGCAATCCATATCAGGTCGTGTCACGTCATGGTGAGATCCAAACTATTTCCAAGGGTACTTCCTCCAGATCCTGGAGATTGGGGGGCATATCTTTCAAAAATATGAATTTTGGGGCAAACCACTACAAGACTCAATCAAAAGGAGTGGGTTCAAAATAATTTAAACCATCCAAGAGTACCTCCTCCAAAGTATGGAGATTGAAGGCATAATGTTTCAAAGTGAAAAATAATGGGGTCATTCATATTATGGTAAAATTATTTCCAAGCTCATATAAATGAGAATATCCTCCAAGACCCAACATATT